AGGAGGACATGGACCTGTTGGAGCGGGGCCAGAGGAGGGCTACTAAAATGATCCGAGGGGTGGAGCCCCTCTGCTCTGAGGCCAGGCTGGGAGAGTTGGGGGTGTTCAGCCTGGAGAAGAGAAGGCTGCGGGCAGAGCTGAGTGCGGCCGGTCAGGGCTTCAAGGGGGCCCAGAGGAAAGGGGGGGACAAGCTTTTTAGTAGGGCCAGCTGGGACAGGACAAGGGGGGATGGCTTTAAACTGAAGCAGGGGAGGTTTAGACTGGATCTAAGGAAGAAATTCTTTCCAGTGAGGGTGGTGAAACCCTGGCAGGGGTTGCCCAGAGAGGGGGTGGAGGCCCCATCCCTGGGACCATTCCAGGCCAGGTTGGCCGGGGCTGTGAGCAACCTGATGTGGTTCAAGGTGTCCCTGCTCCTGTCGGGGGGTTGGGCTGGGTGACCTCTAGGGGTCCCTTCCAACCCAAGGCATTCCATGATTCTATGATTTGGGGTTAAAAACCACATTTCTGAGCTCATTTGGGGGGGACATCACTTTTGGAAGCATAAATCTTTGCGCAGCAGCGCTCCGCTGTGGATTTGGGTCCAATTCATCCCATTGGGGGTTGATTTTGCCTCTTTGAGGGGAGGTTTGCCCATTTTGGGGGGGGGGTTATTCACCCATGTGGGGGCTTCCCCGCTCGCACGAAGAAGCTGCCAAGAAAATACGGCTGCGGAACCTCATCTCGTAGCACTTTATAATAAATGGCCATGAATTAATACTAAATTACAATGAATCCTTTATGAAATTACAGATTACATTCACGCCAGATCAGTATCGAAAAATAGGCTTTTCTGCCCATTGCATCACTTATTTCCCCCCCACACCCCCCGGCTGCTGTTTGTTCTTTTTTTTTAACTCCTCAAGAGCAAAAAAAAAGGGCAAAACCGGCAAAAAGCTGCCCCAAAATAATAAAAAATCCTTCTTCCAGAAACCTGCACCGACAGGAGGAGCCTGCAGAAGAAAATCCCTTTATTATTTTTGCCGTGCGTCTCTCCCACGCCACGTTTTAAGAGGAAATTTGCCCTTTTGCTATTATTTAAAAAGAAAAAAAAAACAAACCCAAACCACGTTGGTGTTTTTTTCGCAGAGCCGCCCCCCCCCGTGGCTCATTTTGGGGGGGGGAACTCCCCCATTTTCCCATGCAGGGGGACAATATTGGGGAGAAACCATTTTTCCAGCAACAATATTGAATTTTCTTCCACACGGGCGAATATTGGGAGCGGGTCACGGTTCCATTTGGGGTAAAAATCTGTATTTTTTAAACCCTTTTTTTTCCCCCATTTTTTCCTGACTCCGTACCAAAACGCCCTGGGAAAGTCCCGTTCCTGGCAGCCTTTGCCCCAACACTGCATCCAGTCTCAGCCCTTAAGGATGAGGATGGGGTGAGGGGTTTTTTTTTTCCAGACTCCATGGGTTTTTAGCACATAAATTAAAAGGATTTGGGGAAATTGCCTCCCTTTTCCCGCAAGTTGCGTCCGGAGTCACCAAACAGCCGCAGCATCGGGGCCAAAACAGGGAGGTTGGGGCAATCCGGTGGGTCAAGAGCGCGGAATCCTCCTCAGATCCAACCTGAAGCAGAATTTGCACTTGCTGATTTTTTTTCCCCCACCGCTTGCCAAGATTTATCCCTGTGAATCATCTTTTTGGGGGGAAAAACCCAAAAAGCATCAGTCCTGGGGTTGGTTTTTTGCACCAAGAAATCCAAGCACTGGGCACGGTCGCCTGCTGTGAAAACCTGGCGGTGCCTGACAGCATCTGAGCGTCGCGTGGGGAACACGGCTTCCCCTAAAAACGCTTTTTCTTAACAAAAATGGAGGGAAAAAGGGAAAAATAAGAATAAAACCTGAAAAAAAAGCCCAATCTGGCCACAATATGTGCCTTGTAAACACGTGTCCTTCACTTCCAGATGCCGGCGTGGTGGCCCCCGTGCTTCTTGCCGGGGGGGGTGTTTTTTGGCATTTTTGGGGGGAGTTTTGTTTCTGGTGCCGTCAATCATTTGGGGAGGGCGCAAGAGGAGCTATTCCAGTGAGTCACTGTGGTCCAAGCCGAGGTCGGCGCCAGGCGCCGCCGGGAGGCCACCAGGCTCTTCCTCCAGCTCTTCCTCCTCTTCTTCCTCCTCCTCCATCTCGTCCTCGTCCTCCTCATCCTCCTCCTCTTCCTCAGTGCCGTCAAGGGAGTCGTCGTGGGCCGCCAGCATGGCCTGCTGCATGGCCATGGTGGCTGTGGCTGACGAGAGGGGTTGCAGGTTGTCCATGCTGAGCGAGCCTGAAATAAAATAAAACCACAACGAAATAAAAACTCCCCAGCTGATGTGAAAAGGACCAAAAAGTGCCTAAGCCAAGAATAACCCGGCTGAAAAGCTGTACCTAGAGAGAGCACACGTAGGGTGTCCCACCTGCCCCAGCCTCTCCCCATGGGCCAACCTTTAACTTTTATAGGTGATGTATCTTCATTAAATAACAAGAAACCATCATTTTTGAGCAAGTAGACGCCAAAATTGGTTGGGTAGATCTTCTCTTCAGCCTCTCTGCATTTCCACCTTCCCCATCTTCTCTCTTCTCATCTTGTCTGGTCCATGGTCACCTCTGCTCTCTTCACCTTCTCTTCACTTTCTCTACTCCTCTTCATTTTCTTCATCTTCTCTTCATCTTCTAGCTTCCCATCTTGTCTCGTCTGCCTTCTCATCTCAGCTTTCATTTTTTCATCTTTTTTTCATTTTCTCTCCTCTCCTCTCCCCATCTCCCCCTTTATCCCCTCCCCAGCACCTCAGGAGATATCCCAAGTGATGCCCCATAGCGGGTGACCCTTGAGGGCTGTTCCTGTGCCGAGGAAATGGCAGTGCCCCATTGCTAGTGCCCTTGTGATGGCCAACTGGAAGGACCTTCTTGCATGGGTCACCTCTTCCACATGTTTTTCCCCAGAGGGTGATAAAGGGCTCTAGAAATCCTTAATTACCAATTAAGGCTAGAATTTAATGCGTGGCCACCCCATCCAGGAAGGACAGGAGCCATCAGGGTTTGTCCTTACCGTCAGGATTTGTCCCCGAATTGCCACCCTGCTGCTGCAGGACCCCAGCAGCAATGGAGTTGGGCCAGAACCGCTGGGTGGGTCGGTGCTGAGATTTGATTTTCTTGGCTTTGGGGGCTGGGTCTGGGTTGCTGGCGTCGAGCATGGGCTGCAGGATGCGCCGCCGGGCATTTATGAACCTTTCCAGGGAAGACCAAGACCATTTGAGTAAATAGGAGTCATTAAAATTTTAAGTTAAAACAACAGACATTATAATAATTTAATGAGCTGCAATATAAAACCCTTTTGAAGGTGGCTGCCTGGTCCAAAAAGCTGGGGGTTTACCCTATTTTATTCGTCTGGGGCCTGTTACACCTTGCGTTAACTTTTCCAGCTGTGAGTTGGAGGCTGCTACATATTGGATTTGCCAGGAGAGGGCACTGAGACATCGCAAACAACATCGTCAATTAAACACCCCCAAGCCCGTGTCACAGAAATTGTCCCAAATCGCTTGCGTTGCCCCCAAAAGAGCATTAGAGCACCGAAACAGCGTGAAAAAGTCTCTTAAAACCAGCGAGATGAGGATGCACTCACCAGTTGTTGACTTGCAAGAGGGTCAGGTTGGTTTGGGCGGCGATTTGCCTCTTCTCGTCCTCAGTGGGATAGGGGTGCTGGGGAAAAAAAGAGAGATGGGGCAGCCAAGTGACATCCCCGCGTACAAGACGGCAGCTCGGGGGGAAAAAAAATGAACTCCCCCCCGCCCCCATTTTTTTTTTCATTTTCCCACCCCAAATGTGGTGGCTTCTTGTGTTTGCAAGATGCAAGGCTTAAGGCCCTTGGTTTCCCTGGTGGCCTTAGGGCTTTTCCAAGGCTTTTCCTTGAAGGAAATTTTTTGGGGGGTGGGGGGGAGGGAGGGGAATTTGCAATTTTCTAACAACGGTTGTTGGTAAAGGTGGGATTTGGGCTTCAAAACCCACAGTCACCCCCAGTGCTCCTTGCCAGGTGCGTCAATAAAACACCCATCTGCACTCCAAACTTCCAGCAGCTCCCTCCCAACTGTGCTAAAATCCTCCCTTGCAACCCCAAAAATGAAAATATTATCAAACCAGCCCCACGTGGGATTTTTTGCAGCCCCAGGCCAGCGCCAGTGTTGATTCCCATGACTTGTTTTCCAGCTGTTTGCCCCCAAAATAGCGGGATTTCCTTGAGAAAGCCACCCAAATTCATAGCGTGCAGGAGACCCCCATCCCACCAGGGCCTCAAGGATGCCAAAGTGGTTAAAAATGGCTCTTTTTTGGAAAAAGTATCTCCATTTTTGCCGTATTATTTCCAGGATTCCTTCCTCCTGCTGGTGCTACAAAACTCCCAAACTCACAATGAGCATCAGTGCTAAACCTCAACATTTCTGATGCCAGATGGAGAAATCTCATGGGGAATCCCAAGCATCTTCTGACCGTGAGGACCAGGCTGAGAGCAAAATTCCAACTGCCCAGGAGAAGAACAATTTCTTTCGGTTTTTCGATCCAGTTTGGGAAATTTCAAACCATGAGGTTCTCCTAGCACCTGGCAGAAAATTGTTCTTCAGTTTCTGGTCTTCTAAATCCTTTTTCTGCTTGAAAATCTCCAGTTCAGCCCTCCAAAAGCATGGGAGATGCACGATGCAGCTTGGGGTGGTGGCCCAACACCAGCAGTGCTCTTGTCCTCAATGCAATAAATCCAAAATTCCCCATTAAAAAAAAGGCTGGAAAGTTCCCAATCAGCTGCTGCTCCACATCCTGGCTCATGTTTTACCCCAAGTCGCTCCTTGGAGCTGCTGGTGTTGGTCTTGCTGCTATCTGTGGGTCTCCCACCTTCCTGGAGACCTTCTTGCAACCAACTTGAGTGATTTCTTTGCCAAATTATTGAAGAAAAGGGGTGGGTTTTTTTAGCTTTTTGCCCTTCTTCCAGCTCTGCTGATGGGAGAGCAATCTCCTTGCATGAAAATATCCCGGTTGCGTCCTCTGAGCTCTGTCCGTTTACCTGTATCTTCATCCCCAAAATGGGGGAACTGTGTAGTTCTGCATTCCAATGGATGGCTGACGTGCCACAACCATACCCATGGGGCAGCTTTCACACCCCGGCTTGCTGGGAAACCGTATTTTTGGAGCTGTTAACTGGAAAAAAAACCCTGCTCCATCACCCATCCGCAATAACTCGTGGAAGTCCCCCTCTGGTTTTGTTTACTTCTCCATGCACTGAGGGAGTATTTTTGCCACCTGCAGTGAAAATGGTCACCCCCAAAATAGTCCCAGAATAAAACCAAAGCCATTTTGTGCCTCTCTATACGAATTCAGACAAACCACCACCTCGATTTGTTCATCGGGGGGGGTGGGTGTTGCCTTTTTTTCCAGCTTTGCAGGGGGTTTTGGTGGCTGCGGTGCTCACCATGAGATGCTGGAAGAGCCATGAGCGCATGATGTTGGTGGCATGTTTGGGCAGGACGCCCCGCTTGTTCTTGGACTTCTTGTCCTCACCGTCGAGAAGGGAGGTGAGATCCAGGTTCACCTGCAGGGGGAGAGAATTGGCTGAAAATGGCGATGGAGAACCCAAAACATGAGCAAAACCAACCCAAAATGGGAGTGGGGCGAGTGCAGAAAATGGGTACTTGCAGGGAGTGTCCAAAACTCATTTTTTCCCCAAAAAATTTGTATTAATTCTCCATTTGCCCCCAGGATCTGTGTTTAATATCTCAGGGGTTTTGCCAATGCTTTGCAGAGGGCAAGGGGCTGCTGCTCCCTGTGACGGCACCAGCACAGCTGAGGAGCGTGGCAATGACACCGCGAGCGTTTCTGATTTGCAGGAAAACACTTTTACCTTACAAAAAACCAACAAAAAAACCCCCCAAATGACAAAAAAAAACCCCCAACCCAGGTGACTTTTTAAACCTGAGGTTAAAACCCTGCCATTCCCTCACCCCTGGCGAACCTGCGTCCCTCACCCCACCGATTCCCACCATGAGGCGAAACGTTGCCATGGAGTGAAAATTTGCTTCTTTTTCCCCCCCCAACAAAAAAATAAACATCTTGCTGCCAGAGAAGTTTTAATGAGGTTGTGGGAACTGAGCTGAAACCTCAGCGCTCGAGTTAAAAGGGGATTTTTTTATTATTATTATTTATTATTTTTTTTCCCCAGCTCTTCATCAAAACACTTTTCCTGGATGAATTAAACATCAGGCCAGCAGGTCCCTGCGATTCCCCTGGGCTCCAGCTGAATAAATCGTGCTGGCGGCACGAGAAGAGCATCTGGAGGTGCTTGTCCGGGGCTCTCTCCCTGCCCCGATATTCCCTGCGCGCGTGTTTTTTCACACCACAGAGGCTTTTGCTGTGAGACTCGAGCCCGTGATGGAGAGATGTTAAAGAAGAAAAAAAGAAAAAAAGCATTGCACAGGCAGTGAAACCGGCCCTTTTGGTTTTTAAGAGGGTCCTGCAATTAAATTAGGGTGTTTCAGGAAAAAAATGTGCGTGGGGGGATTTTTGCTGATCCATCCCCCCCCAACAAAAAAATAAACATCTTGCTGCCAGAGAAGTTTTAATGAGGTTGTGGGAACTGAGCTGAAACCTCAGCACTCGAGTTAAAAGGGGATTTTTTTATTATTATTATTTATTATTTTTTTTCCCCAGCTCTTCATCAAAACACTTTTCCTGGATGAATTAAACATCAGGCCAGCAGGTCCCTGCGATTCCCCTGGGCTCCAGCTGAATAAATCGTGCTGGCGGCACGAGAAGAGCATCTGGAGGTGCTTGTCCGGGGCTCTCTCCCTGCCCCGATATTCCCTGCGCGCGTGTTTTTTCACACCACAGAGGCTTTTGCTGTGAGACTCGAGCCCGTGATGGAGAGATGTTAAAGAAGAAAAAAAGAAAAAAAGCATTGCACAGGCAGTGAAACCGGCCCTTTTGGTTTTTAAGAGGGTCCTGCAATTAAATTAGGGTGTTTCAGGAAAAAAATGTGCGTGGGGGGATTTTTGCTGATCCACCCCCTGGAAGCAGCTTAGAAATCGATGGATTTTTGCCCCAAATTCCTGGGGAATGTGGGTTTGGAAGAGCTCGCGGGCAACGCAGCTGACAGGGAGAGCAAGTTGTCCTTATAAATCCATTTCTACCCCAAATTGTCAATGCAGCCCCACAGGGAAACCCCATGTAGTTCATTGCAATCCCAAAAAAGGAGCAAAACGAGAGCAAAATGGCTAAAAAATAGCCCCAAAGCCCCAAAGCAAGGAGAAAAATGAGCTTTTTCCATGAGGTATGGCAGTGCCGTACCAGACGGGTGATGCCGCTGATCCCAGATACAGGATATAATAGAAATAATGTATATATTATATGTTATAGAATTAATATAAGTAATATTTGTTACATATTATAAATTATATATCATATGCTATAATATGATATGATACAGCAATAGTATAAGCCTTGATATAATTTTTAGGTACCCCAAAGGCACCCAGCAGATGGATTTAATCAAAGTTTCTTGCTAATTAAAAATTTAGGATACTCCAAGGGTTGAATTTACAGAAAACCCGGGGGTTTTTTGCTTGCTGCAGCAGCGCGGAATATTGCGTCAAATGGAAATGGGAGGTGGGGTGGTCTTACCTGGGCGTTGGGGATCTGCAGGGCACCGGGGGCGATGGCTTGGGCGAGGACTTGGCCCTGCGACGTCACCATCGTCACGGGCTGGTACAAGGCTCCACCTATGGAAAAAAAGGCTCGTGGGGGTATG